CTGAACCTTGCACATTTATCCTCCAGGTCCCGATCCAGTCTGACTTGGACAGAGTCTAAGAGCAGTCTCCACTCTGACCAGTTGCTGAGCCCTTAGCTGGCTGTCCCCTGTCCCCAGCCCAAGTCTCTATTACTACACATTAGCTCTGAGATCTGGGATGACAGCCCCGAGAACTGGCAGCCTCCAGGCTCTCCGGTGTTACAGTCCTTTCCCATCAGGCTTGGCTCAGAAACAGGTGCAGGCCTTAAGAGTGTGGTGACCACAGCACATTCACACTCAACTCTACTCAACCCTCTTCTTCTTCCTGGCTTGAGTCTCTGCCTAAGTGAAGATGACATCTATCTGGCTCATCACCTGTCTTGTTCCCACAGAGGAATAGGTTTAAAAGTGTTAAGGGTTAAGGGCCAGGCCTTCGCAACCAGACAGTGCTATATTTGAATCTGGGTCCCACTGTTTCTTAGGTGTGTGAACATGGGCATATGACATAACTACTCTGAGCCTCAGTTTCCTTATCTGTGCAATGGGATTTCTCTGAGCAGCAGTGTTCATGTGTGTAATGTGTCCAAGTCTGTGCCTGGCATACAGTAGATGCCTTACAAATGTGAGCTATTTTTCCCCTGCCTTGCTGGGGTTTGAGAAGAGTGGGTGGGATCTTACCAGTACTTTGAACCCTACCCTTCAGAGCAGACCGCAGAGCAGCCTGGCTTAGTTTTCTCCAGGGAAATGAGGCACCTGCATCTACTCTGGTGACAGAGCAGTGCAGGGGTAAAGAACAGGGCACTCTGCGGCACCCAGACCAGTACATCTGGCTATCACCTTCCCTGTTTCCTTTGGGCAACCCCAGCCTGCCCTCCACTGGCTCCTGCTTCCTCAGCCTTGCCCACTTTCCACCTGTCACTGGCAGACATGACTTGGAGAAAGAACCTGCTCCGTGCCATAGAGGGTGGTACTGCTTGCCTTGTAGAAGCCTCGAGTGCTTGCAATTAGTAGTACTTCTCACCCAGAGGGACTGTTGTAGATGGCTTCTTGAGGAGCCACCCACATCAGTGTGTGCCTGCCACTCAACTGCCACTCTGAGTTTGAGCATCATGGATGTCCCTTCCTCTGTCAGCAGGCAGCTAGTGGACCCTGCCAGAGATCAGCAGCTCTGATGCCCAGAAGAATGAGTGAACTGCCCAACAGCTGGAGAAAGGGTGGGCTAAACATCTCACACACACTAAGGCCAGTGAGCAAGCGGTCCTACAGTCCCATGGAGCTGAATTGTAATCCTGCCTTCATCGTCTGCTGGCCATGTGGCCTTGGAGAGGTGGCTTCACTTCTCTGAGCCGCTCTTTCCCCGGTTTATATCTCCTAGCGTGATTGTAGTGATGCTCACAAAGTTCCTTCTAAGGCCTCGAGACATGACATCTATAATTCTTGGCCTTGCCATGTTTCTGTGCAGCAAGGGAGACTCGTGGGCAAAGGAAATAACATTTACTGAGTAGAAAGCAATTTGGGGCAGAGACTTGGCACATGGTCCCTAGAAGGAGACTGTCTGGTTTCAAGTATCATCAGCTCTAAACTTACTGTCTCACTTTGGGAAAGTAACTGACGTGCTTTAGGCCTCAGTTTCCCCATCTATATAGTAAGGGTAATAACAGCACCCACTTCACTGAGTTGTTAAAAGGTTTAAGTGAGGTGATGCATATAAAAGGTGCCTGGCACATAACATGTGCCCCAAAAGCATCAAAAATGGGGGAGAAGAGATTTCCTTGCTTCTTGTATTGCTTGCTGCCATCAATCTGGGTTAATGCCTTGTACTTTGGCTTTCAGATGGGAGAAATTCAGATCACATCCACCTACAGAAGAAATGATTGGCTGCTATGGATTGTAGCTAAACCATAGGAAGAGCAGAGTTGTAGCCGGCCCTAGGGATGGCCAGTGCTTGCCATCCTTTGCCTATGACCAGAAATGCAGATGCTACAAAGCCCCTCTCTCTGTGTCCCATCTTTGTTGTGCTCTGCCTGCTGGCATCATTCTCTCTATTGCAAATGGCGGCTGCTTGAGGATGGAGCCATGACCACCCTTAGTAGCTCTGTGATTTGCTCTTCCATCTTCATCACTAGAGAGAAGATGACAATCTCTCCCTATGGTTTTAACTGGAAAAAGCCCATCAGAGGTCTCTGATTAGTTTAGCTGCGGGATATGCCCATTCCTGGGGCCAAGGACCTGGTCCCCACTAAAACCCCATGATTAGTCTGGGGACAGTTCTACAAAAGAAGAAACGTGTTCAAAAGAAGTGAGGAGTGCTAGGCAGATAAAACCAAAGATGTGTACTGTGTATGAAGGAGAGACAGTGGGACTGAATGATCAGGGCCACCTCCTATTCTGTGGTACAAAGGAGGAGGCTTTTAAAGACCTGGGAGGCATATCCACAGATCACTGTGTGAGGTATCACCCCAGAGTTGGTCTTGTTCTAGATCTGTCCCACATCCTTTCATAGGTAGCCAGACACCACCCCCAACCATGCTGATCCCATTCTGTGTCTAATCATCTGACCACTGCCTGCCCACCTGTCCACTGGTCCATTGGCTGGGTGCCGACACCTTGCCTAGCTTTGGCAAGCCTCTGCCCTTGGGAGTAGATGCAGGCTCCATGCTGATCTTCAGATGTTGGTGAAGTTCTATGGGTCATCCGGGTCAGTTGACCTCCTGGACTTAGAATATACCATGACCTAGAGATAAGCTGTCTAGATCTATCCAGAATGAGGATCATCCCAGATTAGAAAAGACTCACCTGAATCTTTTTAAATATTGAGATTTAGACAACTTATTCTCCTTCCTTTTTCCCTCCTCCTGAAGTACTTGCCCTCATTCCTTCCCAGTTGCTTACTCACCCTAGCCCCAGCCAAGGGAGTTTCTAGACTACCAGTAGAGGCTAAACGTATAAGCCAAACAGGTTTGAGTTTGAAGACTGGCTCTTCCATTTACTGCTGTGTGACCTTGGATAAATTAATCTTTCTTTTCACGCTTCCAGGCTTCCAGAGATGATGTACCTGAAGTATGATCATCATTTTTATTAAAATATCATGCTCACATCTGATTGATTAACAGTTCCTGGCACGAGGTCAGTGCCAAAGAGCCTTGGACTGATTGCTTATGGTCTGGCCTCCCTCTCTGGCTTCTTATTATGTAGATATCCAGGTGAATTCAGATGATTCCCTAGACTACCACTCTGCTTCCTGAGACACATCCATCCCTCAAACACTGTCCATCACTGGCCATCAAAGAAGCAACCACACTGCTCCAGCAACTGAACAGCTATTTATTGAGATGGGGGTGTGAGTGCATGAGTTAGTGAATTAATTGGTAAGCAAATGAGTGAATTAGTGACTTAATGAGTCAGCAAGTGAGCGAAGAAGACTGTGAAGAATTGAATATACCATGTTCTCCTCCCTCAACAAATCGAATATGTGGTGTTGTAAAACTTTTACCTTAAAATCTGTCTTCTGCATTAACACAAGCAGGGGTTAACAATGGCACAGGGGAAAAAAAAAAAAAAAAAAAAAAAAAAAAAAAAAAAAAAAAAAAAAAAAAAAAAAAAAAAAAAGAATGGCACAGGAAAAGTCACAGACCAGAAGCTGGAGGAAAAAGATACTGTGCTATTTTCCTATTGCTGCCTTAACAAATAACTGCACATTTAGGAGCTTAAAGAATACCAATTGATTGTGTTATAATTCTGGAGGTCAGAAGTCCAAAATGGGTTTCAGCAGGTCAAGATCAAGGCGTGGGAGGGCCTAGCCCCTCTGGTAGCACTAGGGGAGCATCCTTCTGCTTGCCTCCTCCAGCTGCTAGCAGCCACCTGCATTTCTTGGCTTGTGGCCTCTTTTCCTTGTCTTCAATACCAGCAGTGCAGCATCTTCAAATCTCCCTCCACCTCTGATCCTCTGCTTCTCTCATCACATCTCTTCTGACTGTGACACTCCTGCCTCCCTCTTACAAAGGCCATGTGATTATATCAGCCCCACGTGGATAATCCAGGATCATCTCCCTATCTCTAAATCCTTAGAGTAATCTTATCCACAAAGTCCCTTTTGCCAAGTAAGGAAAAAGTTCACAAGTTTCAGGGGTTAGGACGCCAGCATCTTTGAAGAGGCACTATTCTGCCACTTGCAGATGCCTTGTTCAGAGGGTAAATGCAACCAGTGAGTCCCACTCTACAGAGAATGGGGCAGGAGGGGGATGAAGGAACGTTCACAGCATTTGACAAATAAATGCCTATGCCAGGTATTTTTTGCTGTTGTTGCTGTGGCCTGAGCATTGAGTGTTTTAAAAAGCTTAGATGATTCCATCACGCTCCAACATTTCAGAGATACTTTGACAGAGATATGCTAAGAGCATATGCTGCTGTAATTAAGAGTAAAATCTGGCCCTGTGATTGCTGAAGGTGATGGATCAAGAGCAAGGTGCCTTTACCCTGAGTACACACTGTTATCAACTGGGAGGATTTTTTTTTAAAATTATTTTGAAATAAGAAAAAAGTGCAAAGATAGCACAGCAATGTCCTGTATATCCTTCACCCAGATTCCCTAATGTTGGCATCTTACATAACCCTGGTACATGCATAAAAACTAAGAAATCAGCAATGGTACAGTACTATTAACTAAATTTATTCAGATTTTCCCAGATTTCCACTAGTGCCCCAGTTTTTTTTCTGCCTCAGGATCCAGTCCATCATCTCTCATTGCATTTGTCTTGTCTTCTTGGTTTCTTCCAATCTGTATCAGTTTCTTACTCTTGCTTTGGTTTTTTAAGATATTGACATAATTGAAGGGTAATGATCAGGTATTTGGTAGAATGTCCTTTATTTCAGTTTGTCCAATGTTTTTTCATAGACCTGGGCTATGGATTTTTGGGAAGAATATCATGGGGTAAGATGCTCTTATTATGGCATCACAGAAAGAGGTTCTGTGATCTCAACATGACCCATTACTGATTATGCTTACTTTGATCACTTGGTTGAAGTGGTGTCTGCTAGATTTCCCCACTGTAAAGATACTATTTGTCCTTTTCCATGTTCTACTCATTAGGAGTGGGTGGCTAAGTCCAGCCCACACTGCAGGAGAGGGGGAGTGCCAGCTGTTTTTATTCCTATAATTTCAATTTGTTTAACACTCATGGCTTTATTATCACTCCACTACTTTTCACAGATATGGTTGTAATGAGCTAGACTTGCCCAAAGTTACTCAGCTAGTAAATGGCCAACCTAGATTTTGAACTTATATCTGTCTGGCCTCAAAGGCCACATTCTTTCTACTTCAAGTTACTGCCAACAAGTAAAGAAGATCTCATGGTCTCCGAGGTGGAAGCTCCCTCTCAGCTTGTCTGTACAGTGTTTTTTACATCCATCCTTGGAGTGTGACCAATCAGTGGGTCATGAAGTCACTTTGTTGGGTTGCATTTTAAATAACAACATAAAGTAAAGGCTAATATAACAGAGTAGAAAATAAGAGTACATCACACATGTAGAAAATTTTTATCTCTGTATCTTCTCTGTGCTTTGCTACCTTTATCCTTATAATGGAGATAAAAATAGCCCTCCCATAGGCTTGTTATGAGGATTGAATGGAATGATGTACACAAAGTGCTTAGAACTGAGGCTGGCTCATATTAAGCATTATATAAATATTAAGTATGTATGTAAATGAGTCGTGATGTAAAATGTATTTCTTATTGCAGACTGCAATCAAGATGTTTGAAAATACTGAACTCACATCTGTAGACAAGAAGCTGGCAGATTTATGACTCCCAGCCTGCAGCCTATTTTTTTTAAAACAAAGTTTTATTGGAACACAACCACACTCACTGGTTTAGGTATTGTCTATGGTTACTTTCAAGGTACAGTGGCAGAGCTGTGTACTTGCAACAGAAACTCTATGGTCCACCAAGCCTATCATATTTACTATCTGGCCCTCTAGATCAATGCTCTTGCCTGGAGGTCATCTCATAATCTAGGAAATATCAGATACCTCTTCCTGGGCATGTGGTCCGGTCGTGCCACTGTCCTTGCAGGCATGCTTGCTCTGCAGACCACTCTAGGCTGTGTGACTGCCAGGCACTTGGATCTCCAGAAGCTCATTACCTTTCTCTATTAAACTGATGCCTGCATGGTGAAAGCCTAAAAACATGGTACTTTGGTCAGGGTCCCAGCAGGAAACAGATGGCCACTCGAATTAAAATAATTGGTGAGGGCTGAGTATGGGAAAGTGGCAGAGATCTCAGAGGCTCATGGAAGTAGAGCTTTTACCACCCTAGGCAGGAGGAGATAGAGGGGGGTTAATGCCTGTACCTGGAAGGAGAGAGTCATTTAGAGAGGACATCTTACAAAGACCAGTGACCTTCAGTCCAGTGGGGATCCAGGAGAAAAAATGCCTTGACCGAACTTTCCTTCATCCCTGATCTCCTGTGGCGGGTCCCCACTGACCAAAGGGAGATGGAAGCAAGAGGGTATGGGATCCATTGATGTGACTCATACAGGCCAGTTTCCCAGGCCAAAGAAGGTTGAAAAGAGAAGGTTGGAGAAGGCTGGAAAGGGGATCTGGAAGGGCAAACCTTAGATACCCAGCACACAGCATTGATTTAGAAAGCCAGATTTATTTACCTTTTCTAAGCTCCCCCAAACAACGACTTCCCCTGCTTCGTCTTCCAAGTTGGAACTTTGACAACACCAAAAGGTTGACATAGCTTTTCCCTTCTACTGCCTTTTTTTTTTTTTTT